TCTGTCATAAAAAATGAAGGTTTTTAGGTACTCTTTTACTTCACTTACACTTAGGGCCCCCCTAAAATACAGTCAGGGATTATATAAACAACCCCTCCCCTGGGGTTTTTTCTATTTTCATTCTAGTTCTTATTTTTTTATTTCCTCTTATTCCCTGGGGAAGTGGAATAAATTCTTCCCCCGTAAGCCTGCGTGTTGTAAAAGGCGAAAAAAAGCCGGGGCAAGGGGGCCCGTAACCCCTTTCCGTTTATTACTAAATGTAAAAGGGGAAAAATTTTTGTTTTTCCTTTTGGGCCACCCCCCCGGTGGGAACGGCCGATGTGTTGAAAGAAAGAAAATACGTGGCCCCCCTAACGATCACCTCAATGCGACCAAATTTTGTAAGTGTATTTATGTAAATGCTTTGTTGTTTGTTTGGGGGTCTGAAAGGACTAAACTACTTACAATTTCCCTTTTGGGAAAAAAATTTGGTCAGTACTGGCACCTGAAAATACACTGGAATAAAAAAATTCGTTAACCCCGGGGTCCCTGTATTATATATAAATGGGCCCCCCATAACGATGGCATCGCTAGCGATTTTTCCGCATAACGATTACTTTTATCGCAAAATTTTTGCCCGCATACCGATTAAAAACCCGCCATACCGATTTTCGTCCGAGACGCGTCCAATGTGCCCTCAGCCAGCCTCACATGTGCCGCTCCGTCCCATTGTTTACCAGCCAGCCTCCGCGGTAACATCCAAGCATACACTCGGAATATTTCGTATTATTACAGTATTTTCGGTGCTGTTTCTGGAAAATAAGTGACCATGGGCCCCAAGAAAGCTTCTAGTGCCAACCCTACACCTCAAAGGGTAAGAATTACTATAGAGATGAAGAAAGAGATAATTGATAAGTATGAAAGTGGAGTGCGTATAGCCGACCTAGTCAAGCTGTACAAGAAACCCCAATCAACCATCGCTACTATTGTGGGCACCAGAAAGACAATCAAGGAAGCTGTTCTTGCCAAAGGTTCAACTGTGTTTTCGAAACAAAGATCGCAATTGATGGAAGATGTTTGAGAGACTCTTATTGGTGTGGATAAATGAAAAACAGATAGCAGGAGATAGCGTCTCTCAAGCGATCATATGTGAAAAGGCTAGGAAGTTGCATGACGATTTAATTAAAAAAATGCCTGCATCAGTGATGATGTGAGTGAATTTAAGGCCAGCAAAGGTTGGTTTGAGAGATTTAAGAAGCGTAGTGGCATCCATAGTGTGATAAGGCATGGTGAGGCTGCCAGTTCGGACCACAAAGCGGCTGAAAAATATGTGCAGGAATTCAAGGAGTACATAGAAACTGAAGGACTGAAACCTGAACAAGTGTTTAATTGTGATGAAACAGGCCTGTTCTGGAAGAAAATGCCAAGCAGGACCTACATTACTCAGGAGGAAAAGGCACTCCCAGGACATAAGCCTATGAAAGACAGGCTTACTTTGTTGATGTGTGCCAATGCTACTGGTGATTGCAAAGTTGAAGCCTTTATTAGTGTATCACTCTGAAACTCCCAGAGCGTTCAGGCAAAAGAATGTCCTCAAGGATAATTTGTGTGTGCTGTGGAGGCAAACAGTAAGGCATGGGTCACTAGGGAATTTTTCTATAACTGGTTACACCATGCATTTGCCCCCCAATGTGAAAAATTACCTAACTGAAAGAAATTAGAAACTTAAGTGCCTCCTGGTGTTAGACAATGCCCCTGGTCATCCTACAGACGTGTCAGAGCGACTTTATGGGGACATGAGCTTCATTAAGGTGAAGTTTTGCCTCTAATACCACTCCTCTCCTGCAGCCCATGGACCAGCAGGTTATTTCCAACTTCAAGAAACTGTACACAAAAGCTCTGTTTGAAAGGTGCTTTGTAATGACCTCAGAAACTCAACTGACTCTAAGAGAGTTTTGGAGAGATCACTTTAATATCCTCAATTGTGTAAACCTTATAGTAAGGCTTGGGAGGAAGTGACAAAGAGGACCTTGAACTCTGCTTGGAAGAAACTGTGGCCAGAATGTGTAGACAAAAGGGATTTTGAAGGGTTTGAGGCTAACCCTGAGAATCCTGTGCCAGTTGAGGAATCCATTGTGGCATTGGGAAAGTCCTTGGGGTTGGAGGTTAGTGGGGAGGATGTGGAAGAGTTGGTGGAGGAGGACAATGAAGAACTAACCACTGATGAGCTGCTAGATCAACTTCAACAGCAAGAGGCACACCTGAGGAAATTGCTTCGGAGGAGGGGAGAGGAGAAATGATGAAGAAGTTGCCTACTTCAAAGATTAAGGAAATCTGTGCTAAGTGGCTTGAAGTGCAAACCTTCATGGATGAAAATCACCCTCACACAGCTATTGCAAGCCGTGCTGGTGATTATTACACTGACAATGTTGTGAAACACTTAGGCAAGTCATAAAGGAACGAGAGGTACAGGCCACTATGGACAGATATCTTGTGCGAAAGAAGTCCAGTGACTCTGAAGCTGGCCCTAGTGGCATTAAAAAGAAGAAGGGAAGTAACCCCAGAAAAGGACTTACTACCTCAAGTCCTAATGGAAGGGATTCCCCTTCTAAACAGTAAGAAGATATTGCTCTCCCCTCCTCCCATCCCATCAATCATCACCAGATCTTCAATAAAAAGTAAGTGTCATTTAATTGTGCATGCCTTTTTCAGTTTGTGTGTATTAAAATTAACATTTCATGTGGTAAAAAAAATTTTTTTCATACTTTTGGGCGTCTTGCACTGGATTAATTTTATTTCCATTATTTCTTATGGGGAAAATTGATTCGCATAACGATTATTTCGCATAACGATGAGCCCTCTTGCACGGATTAAAATCGTTAACCGGGGGTCCACTGTATATATAATATATATATATATATATATATTATATATATATATATATATATAATATAATATATATATATATATATAATATATACATATATACCCTGCCTCGGTGGGAGACGACCGACTTGTTGAAAAAAAAAAAAAAAAATATATATATATATATATATATATATTATATATATACACACACACACACACACACACACCTACCATCTCACTTACGACCAAGTTCAGTTCTGAGAAACCGGTCGTAAGTCGAAATGGTCGTAAGTCGAACTTTACTACTGAATATCAACAAAACATTTTTGTAATGACTTTATTTTATTGTTTTATTTTGGTATTTCATATTTTACTTTACTTTTTATGTTGTTAGTACTGTATTTTATACTGTAAGGTTTAGGATAAACACTGTGTACAACACAAATAGTTGTTTATTTCCCAGAAATGTGGCATAAAAAACACGGTCGTAAGTCGAGTGGTCGTAAGTCGAGCAGGTCGTAAGTCGGATGGTAGGTGTATATATAAATGCTTTCAAATGAGCTGATGTAAGTAACAGCTCTTAGCTTGCCAACAAAGTTAGGGATCCTTAACCTGTAAATAGCTTGTCAATAAAGCTAGGGATCCTTAACCTTGTCAAACCATGTGTAAAAAAAAAAAAAAAAGAGAGAAGAGAGAGAGAGAGAGAGAGAGAGGAGAGAGAGAGAGAGAGAGAGAGAGAGAGAGAGAGAGAGAGAGAGAGAGAGAGAGAGAGAGAGAGAGAGAGAGAGAGAGAGAGAGAGAGAGGACAGACAGAGAGACAGAGAGAGAGACAGAGAGGAACAGAGAGAGAGACAGGAAGAGAGAGAGAGGAGAGCAGAGAGAGAGAGAGAGAGACAGAGACAGAGAGAGAGAGAGACAGAGAGAGACAGAGAGAGAGACAGAGAGAGAGAGAGAGACAGACAGAGAGAGAGACAGAGAGAGAGAGAGACAGAGAGAGAGAAGGAGAGACAGAGACAGAGAGAGACAGAGACAGAGAGAGACAGAGAGAGACACCAAGAAAAGTTTATGGCAGAATTATTAATGAAAGGATTAGTGGTAAAAGAGAAAGTAGGGTTGCAGAGGAGCAGAGAGGATTGAGGAAGGGTAGAGGATGTGTAGACCAAGTGCTTACACTGAAGTATATACAGGTGCTCTTTGCATGTCACTGATGTCACTGGCATCAGCTATGGTCTGTATAAGTTGTATCAGTAGTTTTAAAACTACAGTCAAAATACACCTTATCTCCTTAACCTATCCCAGCTCATAAATAAATATGTAAAAACTATACGTGTATTTTCTCAATATCATGAATATAGGTAACATTTATAATCAATATACACGTATACTCTCTCAGTATCTATATTCACCTCAAATGTTAATCACTCCATTGTGTCCAACTCACATTAACAATCAAAACTGTAATTCATCCCTACAAAACTTATCAAAGTCATATAGCATGATCTAATATTCAGTTTTCTTGTATTCATTGTAACTCACCTAATGACCATTTTTTTTTTATTATTATTATCACACTGGCCGATTCCCACCAAGGCAGGGTGGCCCGAAAAAGAAAAACTTTCACCATCATTCACTCCATCACTGTCTTGCCAGAAGGGTGCTTTACACTACAGTTTTTAAACTGCAACATTAACACCCCTCCTTCAGAGTGCAGGCACTGTACTTCCCATCTCCAGGACTCAAGTCCGGCCTGCCGGTTTCCCTGAACCCCTTCATAAATGTTACTTTGCTCACACTCCAACAGCACGTCAAGTATTAAAAACCATTTGTCTCCATTCACTCCTATCAAACACGCTCACGCATACCTGCTGGAAGTCCAAGCCCCTCGCACACAAAACCTCCTTTACCCCCTATATGCACTGTTATTGCCTTGTTAATTTTAAATTGCGTTTAAGCTTGCTTGAAATGCTTTGCATATAAAGGGGCTTTTGGCATGTACGCCCAACCATTATATTCCTTTGTGCAAACATGTATCATCCCAAAATAAAATGTTATTATTATTATTATTATGTACTTGTAGAAATAAATCTTATTATTATTTGAATAAAAGCACCTTTCTTGAAGGGCTGAAGTAAAAAAAAAAAATAAAAACTTACATGTTTTCACTGATCCATTTCCTAGATGCTGTACTGTATCTCCATAAACTCTTGTTCCAGTTGCCATGACCCAGGTGATACTCACCACCTATGATGTATATACTGCAACCTGCAATGTCAAGTTATTTATAATAATTATATGACATCACAATTCAGACTGTCGTGTGACTGTAAGATCCTCGCCCCTCCTTCAGGATTCAAGTTCAGCTAATCAATTTCCTGAATTCCTTCATAAAGGTTATTTTGCTTACACTCTAACAGCAAGTCCATTAAAAACCACTTGCCTCCATGCACTCCCATCTGCTAAGCTCTCACAAGCCTGCTAGATGCTCAAGCCCCTAAAACTCAAAGCCTCCTGTGGCTTAGTTGGAAATGCACTCGCCTCCACACTGAGTGTCTGGGGTTCAATCTCTGGCATGGATGGAAACATTGGGCATGTTTGTTTACACCTGCTCTCACTGTTCACCTAGCAGTAAGTAGGTATCTAGATGCTAGTCTTCTTACACCTGCTGTCCCTGTTCACCTAGCAGTAAGTAGGTATCTAGATGCTAGTCTTCTTACACCTGCTGTCCCTGTTCACCTAGCTGGATGTGTCAGCAGATGGGTCCATGAAGGATGAGGTGAGTCATGGAATTGACATGGGGGAAAAAAGGTGAGTGGTACACTGAGGAGTATGTGGAGACAAAGAACATTATCCATGGAAGCAAAGAGGGGAAATGTATGAGAGTATAGTATAGTTATACCAACACTCTTACATGGGTGTGAAGCATGGGTGGTGAATGTTGCAACAAGGAGACGGCTGGAGGCAGTGGAGATGTTGTGTCTGAGGGCAATGTGTGGTGTGAATATAATGCAGAGACTCCGAAGTTTGGAAATTAGGAGGTGTGGGATTACCAAAACTATTATCTAGAGTGCTGAGGAAGGGTTGCTGAGGTGGTTCGGACATGAAGAGAGGATGGAACAAAATAGAATGATTTCGAGAGTGCATAAATCTGCAGTGGAGGGAAGGCAGGGTACGGGGTCAGCCTAGGAAAGGCTGGAGGGAGGGGGTAAAAGAGGTTTTGTGTGTGAGGGGCTTGGACGTCCAGCAAGCATGCGTGAGCATGTTAGATAGGAGCAAATGGAGAAATGGTGTTTAGGACTTGCTGTGCTGTTGGGGTGTGAGCAAGGTAACATTTATGAAGGGGTTCAGGGAAACCAGCAGGCCGGACTTGAGTCCTGGAGATGGGAAGTATAGTGCCTGCACTCTGAAGGAGGGATGTTAATGTTGCAGTTTTAAAACTAGTGTAAGTGTGTCTCTGGCAAGACAGTGATGGAGTGAATGATGATCAAAGTTTTTCTTTTATGGGCCACCCTGCCTTGGTGGGATACGGCCAATGTGTTAATCAAATAAAAAAATAATTATATTTATGGGGGAGTGTTAAACTCAAAGAGGTCATACAGCACCTGGGGAGAACAGAAGGCCTTCAGGCTCGATTCAAAGAATTGGAGCACAGGTCCAAATCCTAAGATCAAGAGCCCCTCACCAGCATCAAGGAACCTCCCTTGAGGGGCCAATTATATATGTCCTTTTACTTGTACAGTAGAACCCCCATATCCACTGATTCAGTATCTGCAGTTTCAGTTATCCAGTTTACTGTGGCCCAAAAATACCTCATAATTTTGTATAATAATAACCTCAAAGTGCAAAAGTAGAGAAGTTGGCAGTTCTTCAAAACCTAAGAGAAGCTGTGAAGTGTTTCCCATCAGTGAATAAGTGATAATTCTCCACTTATTGTGCATAATTTATCAATTAAATTTTATAATAGGCATGTATAGGACTTATTTATAGGGTTTGCTACTATCCATGGTTTCGGTATCCACGGCAGGTTCTTGAAACAAATCCCCCGTGGATACGGGAGTCCTACTGTATTTACAAAAACATCCATGACATAGAGAATCTTTATAAGAGAGCTTATTGTATGTATAATTTAATTGCTTTCTTGGCAAGAAATGCTTACCAACAGAATAAACTTGGTATCCTAAACATTGAACTAAACCATCACAAAATTTTTGGTATTGAATATATCAATGATATACAGTGGACCCCCGCTTAACGATCACCTCCCAATGCGACCAATTATGTAAGTGTATTTATGTAAGTGCGTTTGTATGTGTATGTTTGTGGGTCTGAAATGGACTAATCTACTTCACAATATTCCTTATGGGAACAAATTCGGTCAGTACTGGCACCTGAACATACTTCTGGAATGAAAAAATATCGTTAACCGGGGGTCCACTGTACATTCTAAAAATTTAACTGGACCATCAATCACAGAGATAGCAAGAACTTACCCACAGAACAAACTTGGTATCCCGAGCACTGAACTGGACTATCGCAGAGCTTAGTTAAAACTATTTCTTCTACTATTTTCTTAGATGCCAGATTAAACGAGTAGACGACCGGTGACATCTCGGAATTTCTCATTCGGGACGTCCACACTACATCAACCTCATCTTCGTCATCGCTGTTCTTTGCTTTTTTCTTCCTCTGCGATGATTGCAATCGCTTGAACCCCACAACACATGCAACCTGCGACAACTTCCTCTTGAGTCGCTTCAACAAACTTTCAACAATCGTTCTTACTTTTTTCTCCTCATCTCTTTCTTCAATCTGTCCGTTATCATCTCTATCTGAATCACATTTCTTTGAGTTTCTTTGCTCTTCTAAGCATTCATTTATTCTTTGAATTAACAGATCCTTATCTGAATTTTGGTTACAGTCACTTGTTTCCAACAGGGACTTTTTTAGTTTTTTTATACATTCTAACACTTGTACTGCTAGGTCATTTTCACTTACGATGCTGTAGAAGAGCATGTTGGATATGTCTGCTGATGTCAACGAGTGGAAATCGACACAACGCAGAAGCTGAACGAGATGGCCAGCTCTCTCAACCTCATTTGCCTGTAAAATTGAAACAAACGGAATAGAGGAAAAAAAAAATTTTTTTTTCAAGGATTTATTTATTACACCTTTTATTAAGCT